GGGGCCCACGAGACAATAAAGTTTGGGAACCACTTTTTTAGACTAAAAAATAATAAATCTGTGCGATTAGAGATATTTTTACCAATTGTTATGGGAATTTAGATAAATGTTTTGACATGATCGTTTTTTTATGCATAAAAAATGTTCATTCAGGGCTCGAGGTCTCATGGGGACTAATTCAACTAATACCACCACATCTGTCAAGAACGATTTTGTTCCCTTGTTCAAGATACCAAAAGAAATAATTAATTGCCAGTAATTAATTAGCAAATAGGTTAATTTTTAAATTGATTCTTGTGTTGTCAGGTAAAAGAAATAATTGTGCAAAATTTCAGCTTAATAAGAGATTGAGTGTTGAAGAAATAAAGTGTACAAACTTTTTACCAGAAAGACAGAAAGGCAGACAGACAGAGTTGATTTAAGCTTTGTAATAATTATTTTAAAAAGACAGAACAACATTTGCTAGCATAAAATATTTCACAAACTTTCTTTTTTGTCCTTTTGATTTTCTCTAAAATATGTTTGGAAGAAATCTTTCATGAAGATATATTTACTCCCCCCTCCCCCAGACACTCACCACTTAGTATTCAGCTTTTTGAAAATAATTTTTGAGATACAATCATACACTAGACAAGACTTTAAAACTCGAGTTTTTGATCTTATGTATTTATAGTTACAAAACACCACTTAAAGCTTTTCAAATGTCTCGATTTGTTTAAGCAGAGGTGGCCTTAGCTTGTGACGGGCTCAGGGCAAGTGTCATGCTTGGGGCCGAGGACCAGTGAGATTATCTATACGGTATACCGTGCCGCGTCATGATATAGGGTTCGTTTGCCTCTCGTTATTATTGGTACAACAGATAGTACCATACATAGGTACTGTCTTACTTACCGTTCGACTAAATTACATACTTTGTTGTTGCAATTGTTCTGCATGTACGGTTTTTTCATTGTATGATTTTTGCTCCCTGAACTCTATATTCTCCTCTGCCGCTGTTGGGAAACAGGTCATGTCCCACAGGACATGCGTGACGCAACTATAGTCACAATATACAAGAACAAAGGGGATCGGAGTGACTGCAACAATTACAGGGGTATCTCTCTCCTCAGTATAGTGGGCAAGATCTTTGCTAGAGTGGCACTATCCAGGCTGCAAGTGATAGCTTCTAGAGTCTACTCAGAGTCTCAGTGTGGATTCAGGAGTGGTAGATCCACTGTAGACATGATATCTTCTCTACGACTACTGCAGGAGAAATTCAGAGAGAGAGAGAGACTGACCCCTTTACATCGTTTTTGTTGATCTGACTAAAGCTTTTGACATGGTCAGCAGAAGTGGCCTTTTTAAACTCCTGAGGAAAATAGGTTGCCCTCCCAAACTACTTCAGTTCATTGAGTGTTTTCACGAGGAAACTAAATGCACTGTCAAATTCAATGGAGCCGAATCAGCACCTTTTGAGGTTAGCAGTGGTGTCAAGCAGGGTTGTGTGCTCGCACCTACTCTGTTTGGCATATTCTTCTCCTGTCTAATGCATTATGCGTACAACGACATAAACGAAGGTGTGTTTCTCCTTACAAGATCCTCTGGAAAACTATTTAATGTATCAAGGCTGCGAGCAAAAACCAAGGTTAGGAAGCTACTCGTCAGGGAACTCATGTATGCTGATGATGCAGCTATTGTGGCTGGTTCTGATATTCAGCTACAATGCCTGGTTGACAAATTATCTGCTGCTTGCCAGAAGTTCGGCTTAAACATCAGTCAAAGCAAGACTAAGATACTTGTCCAAAACACAAACACTGCACCTCAAGTAAGCATTAATGGCCAACCACTAGAAATTGTTGATCACTTTTGTAACCTTGGCTCCATCATATCCAACAACACTCTACTGGATAAAGACATAAACAACAGGATAGCCAAGGCAATGGCCACCATGTCACGGTGCAGAAAAGAGTCTGTAACAAAATATTACTGACTAGCAGTACTAAAGCCCTAGTCTACCGGACCTATGTGTTGAGCACCTTGCTGTACGGAAGTGAAACATGGTCAACCTACTCATGGCAGGAAAAAAAGCTGAATGTTTTCCACCTCCGATGCCTAAGGCGGATCTTTAAAATAAGGTGGCAAGATAAGATAACCAATGAGGAAGTGCTACAAAGAGCAGGGTGCCAGGACATCCGCTCCGTTATCAGCAGCAGACGCCTTGGCTGGCTTGGCCATGTTCGTAGAATGCCAGTAGGTCGACTTCCACAGGACATCCTGTATGGCGATCTAATAGAAGGGAGGAGAGCAGCTGGTCGCCCACTTTTACGTTATGCGGATGTATGCAAACGCGATATGAAGCTCTTCAAAATCGACACTGGCAACTGGGAAGAGGTGGCACTGGACAGATCCTCATGGAGAGAGAGCATAAAGGAAGGGTCAAAGATTGCAGATGTCATACACAACAGAAGCAGAAAAAAGGGTGAAAATGCAACGGCGCCTGGTGATTATATATGCCCAACCTGCGATCGCAGCTGTGTATCAAGGATTGGCCTCTTTAGTCACACAAGAAGTTGCAAAGGGAAAAGATCGTTTCTCGAGACGTAAAATGCCACAGATTTGGTCCCTAGTGTCACGAGTCGAGTCTGTGACCTATTTCGACCAGTTTCTAGAAGCTCGAGTTCAAACCAGTGCAAGTGTCCAGCGTAAACAAGTTAATTTTAGATATCCAATCGAAGAAAGAGGATAAGGGAAAAAAATAGCACTCTCAGCTTCTAGAAGGTCAAAGTTACTAAAATAATTATCGGAGAAAGTTCCAGGATTCTGGAATGTACGATAAAAGAAAGTATAAATTAAGGGAAAGTGAGTTAGACGGGGTCCTCGCATAGTAATAGTTCTTGTAGAGCGTTGGTTCTCGCTCAGTAATAAGTTTTATGATATTAGCGGGTCCATTAAGTAAAGTTTTAGTATTTGAAGTTAAAGTTATACTAAGTGAAGTTTCATGTATCATTTAAGTTTTATTTATGAAGTATCAAGTCAAGTTGGTATTGAATTAAGAAGTTAATTTTGATGTGAAAGTTGAAGAAGTTATTAAAGAAGTTTGAAGAAAATACAGAGAGATGTTTCTTTCTTCATTTCATTGAATTGTCAAGTATTGAGAATATAATCCCCGGCAAATGTGCTCGTCACACCTAGACCTATAATATTTTTCTTTCTCTTCTTCGTTCTGATTATTTTGTTGGAGCGTTCAGATGACTAAACCTATATCTGAGAAGAACTACGCAGTGGTTTCCAGATCAGCCAGCTCTGCATAGAGTTTTTCTTTTTATAGGGCTGGTTTGGAACCAATGTCTTGTTCGGGCCTCCTGATGAAGAGTAGTTTTGACGGACATGGTCGACATTCTCTGGTGACACTCTACAAGGGTAAATTTTTATCTTCTGGAACATATGTTGTCTCATTCTGTTGTGTCTGGTTCCGAGGCGAAACACTAGGCCTTAGTCGTGCCGGAATAGATTATAATAGGCGTCGGATTTTTCGTAATTCGGGGGAGAGCTAGTCCATTTCTGTTTTATTCAATTCGCTATTAGTTTCTTCTTTTTTCCTGATAGATTGTTTTTTTCTATTGTGTATTCGTTCTCCCACACTTGGCAAGTGGGTTGGGCTTTTATTTCAAAATGTGCTGGTATCCACTAGCGACAGTTTTTTTTTTGCGTTTTTTTTTAACTTTACAAGAGCAGTCCTGAGTAGTTACACATAGGAGGCATAGAGTTTTTCAAGCTTTGGAGTACGCCTACTGTTTTAGTATTGGTCAAGAAGACAATGACTGTAAGGCGTAGTTGGGTGGTTTACAAGCGTGAAGGATGCTAGTTATAGTGCTCCCCTTTCTGCTCTGTGGCTGTCAGAGTGCTCACTTGTTGGATTAGACTTTTCTGTTTTTTTTCCTTTGGGCCATTCGATAAGTTTTCCAGCTCCTCCGTTTGTGGTGACTTTTCGAGACGAACCATCCGTGTAAACTCTGACCCATTGGTTGTTTAGGTCATGACTTTGTAGAAAAGAGTTAATTCCTGAGCTCTTTTCGCATGTAGTCAGATTTTTTAAATATTTATTTTCAATACTGTTTCTTATAGACAGAAGGGAGCTTTGGTCCCAGGATGTGGAGTGATCCTATTGTTTAGTGCATTCCAGAGTTATATTTTCTAGTTGGGACTCTTTTTTATGTTCAGAGATTCCAAAATGTAATTAATTCTTTTGAGACGATTTTTAGTGCCAGTTTTGTGGATTTTGGTTTTCAATGGGTGCCTCTCTAAGATTTCCATTTCGGTGAATTGGGGAAAGAATATTAATGTCTCTTCCTTCGTCCAGAGAGACCAGAGCAGCGGATTCCTCCAAAGCACTGATATATTTTTTTTCTTTTTGCTCATGTCTTATCCTTAGGCGTCAACAACGCGCTGTTTTTTTTCTTAAGAAGATTGCAGGTTAAGTAAAATTAAATTAAGAAAAGGCGGTTCAAGCGGAGACTATTGTGACATTCAATGCAGTAGAGAATGTAACTTTGCTGTACACGGGAGATGGGTTTGCTCCCACGTCAGAGTATACTAGACTCGAAGAATCGCATTGGTGAGGACGCATTGAATTGTCTTCTTTAGAGGAGCGTTTTTCATTCTTTTTTTTTGTTGCTAAGATCTTTTTTACACAAGTTTGTATTGAATCATATTAGATAACTATATATAAAAGACATAAACGCGTAATTATTATCATTAATCTCTATGTGTATATATCCTCAAGAAGTGTTTAAATGTAAATAATGAATGAACTGTACCTAATGCATACCAATAGTCTTATAGATACAATCATAAAAGGAAAGGAGACATTAAGATATAGTTCGTTAATAAACGAAAATTTTGGAAATCCATTTTCACTACAAAATGTAAAAATACAATTTTTGGAACCTTTAATATCTTCTTTACAAAAAAATAAAAAAATAAAAGATATTTAAAAAAAAAATAAAAAGTTACCTAATTAGAAAAATACTATGCATGAGCCTTTGTGAATTATTAAGAGGCTGAATGACCTACTTGAAACTGATAGTGTTGAAGACCTCTACATGTATAGATAGTTATGTGTTTTAAGTATATGTAGTGCATATAGTGATATAAAAGACAAGAATAGCTATGGATTAGAAAAATTACAAATATATACGAACATCATATTCAATTTTTTTTATTTTTCAAATTTCGAAAGCAAATTTACTTCATAAAAGTTTCTTCCCCTCAAAAATCTACAGGTCTTTATGAATTACAACAATTTTAAAATAGAAAATAAGTTAAACAAATGAATACAATTGAAATAAATTTGAAAATGATAATGTTTTCTTTTACTTTCTTTAGAACTATGCTTTTCAAGGTTTTGAATTATTATGAAATTTATTATGCAAATGGTTTACGCAATAGGAATTGTATACTTCAACACTAGTTATACATAATACAATTCAATAATTTAATATACCACCTACCCTAAAACATCAACAAATTTAAAAATCAAAACTACAACAGATACCTATGCACACAAATAAAACAACCATAAGATCTATTGGTTTCCTGGTGGCAATAAAGTGAAAATAAGAATGAGTAGAAATCTACACCTTGAAGTGAAAAACATACAGGGCTTTTTTATTTATTTATTTCCCTTCATTGATTAAAATGTGTTAATTAAAACTTTAAAATAAAATTAGCTAGTATTTTGATTTTTAATTAATTGATTAAAAAATAAGATATTACAAAAAACAACAACAAAAAAAAACAAACCAAACAACCTCGGTGGCCCCCGACATATTCCGAATGACATCTAAGGAAAAAAATTTTCAATACCGTTACTTTACACGGCTTGGTTAGACTTTAAAAATGTCTTTAACACAAGAAGTTGACGAAAGTTAATAGACATTGGCGCACGAGTTCTTGTAGAATTTCATTTAATAAAATCATTCCAAATGACGTCAAAAGAAAAAAGTTTCAACTATGTCACAAAGCTTAGCAAGACTAAAACATGACTTTATAAACACAAGAGAGTCGACTAAGGTTATGGTTAAAACATTGGCGCTAGAGTTTTTATAGCATTTCATTAACTTAAAATCATTCCGGAAAACAGAAACTTTCCACTTTCCAAGACTTAAAACAAAGAGAGTTGTCTCATTCTGTAACTATACATTGGTGCACCGAGGTCTTATAGCATTTCAGTTCAAGAATTCATTCCATATGACGTCAAAGGAAAAAATACTTTCCACTACGTCATCCAGCCTAGTTTGTTAACACGAGAGAATTAAAAAGGTTTTCGTAACATTGTGCATGAATTCTTATAGCCTTTGCGCCAATCCAATAGTAATATGTATCTAGAATCCGCATTAATCTAGCATTTAAATTAGATGCACTATAAATTATTGGAGAGATTTTATTTTTACAATCCTTTGGTGTTAAGACGTTCTCCTTAAAAATCCTAAACATAATGAGATTTTTAATGATGTTTAAGCAAGAAAATTAAAGCTAGTTTAAGCTAGAAGTGCGATTTTAAACAATTATTTACACTTAAAATGTTTTTCATAAAATATCCGAAACAACAGATTTTTTGCTACGTTATATATATAGGCCTATATATCTTATACTATAAAGTAGAATGTGAGGCGTATGTATGTTACTTATAGACATCAAAACCGCTTGACCAATCTTGATAAAACTTGGCAGGAATGTTCCTTGGGTACCAACTTAGTCCGTAGTGTATGTATTGTAGCCCTAAAACAAACTTAAGACCCTAAAAAAAATAAATAATGTTGTCCGACTCTATTACAGCTATAGTATTTTATGTATCTAGGCCATGGTTAACAATGTTGACATGAGAAAAGATAGAAAGGATTTAGACCTAGATCTAATTTTAAGAAATACACTTTGCGCAGATGGTTTTTTACTTTGACACGTGAAAATACAAAAGAAGATCCATTGATTTCATTATATAATAAAATTAACCTTCAATTTTGTGTTTCAAAAGCATTTTTTTACATAAATAAGTTCGTGATATCTGTGACTACAGATTTCCTGGCGAACATTCTTTCATTAGACATTGCCAATTGGTTACACATTAACACATCTCTCTACTGAGTCTATTCCTAGGTCTAGGTCTAAAACTCTTATTGAACTCTAAGACGATAAAACTTCTTTTCGCAAAGATAGTTTTGTGCTTTAACACATAAACATACTAATTATTGTCCATTCATTTGATATTTTAATTAATTTAACATTCAAATTTGTTTTTCTAAAGCATTTTTAATACATTCGTTCGCTGTTCGCTAAAGTTGCGTAGCCGTGTTGAGATAGGCCTATATTCATTCATGAAAAAAATGTCACGCATGTGCAACACAGAATGAACTCTATAAAAGCCACTTTTTAACTCTAGATTAGTGTAGATTTAGATCTATGTCTACCTCAAGATCTACTCTATACTTTAACACATGAACATACAAAATTAAGTCTATTCATCTCAAATTTTAATCAAATATATGTAGGCCTACAAGCAAATGTTTTAATTTGAAAAAATGGATTTAAGCCTATTAGCTATTTTTATTTGATAGCTTCATTCACACTATTTTTACATTGACACATTCGCTTTACTTATTACATTATTATTTCGTTTAATTGTGACTATATCGACAGTAATGCGCAAATAAAGACCCGCGGGTAACATATGTCTAGTATTTATATATAATTATATTAGAAAAGTAATTTCTAACAGTCATTTGCGTTAGTAGCATTTTCCTTAAAAATTCGGAACAATCTTTCTTTGTTAATACAATTTGAGTGACGATCGGCAAGAACATAAAGTAATGTAAGTCAAATTCTTTTTCAAAACAAAATCCAAAAAAATATTTTTACAGATAAAAAGACTTAATGACAGTCCTGAAAGGAAATGTAAAATAAGTCAAAAAAGTGATTTTCAACAACTGTATCTAGTAATTGACTTTCTTCTTTTAAAAATCCTGACAAAACTTATTGTCAATAATTTTGATAAGTAAGTCATTTAATATAAAATTTGTTTTAAGTTGAAAATCCGGAACAATTTGATATTGATAATTAAACTATAGTGACGCATTGTCCGAGAATATTAAGTGTAATATAAGTCAGAAAAGCAATTTCAAACAATCATTTGATAATTATTTTTTATAAAACAATATCTGGAACAACTTATAGATAATAAAAAATAAGTCAGTATAGAGATTTTCATACAGCGATTACATGTTATTTAAATAAAAATCTGGAACTAGGAACTACTTATTTTTTATCATGGGTTTTTGCGACATTTAAGCAAGAAAATAAAATGTAATATAAGTCAGAAGAGTAATACCAAACATTCCTTGGCATAAATTTGCTTTTCACAAAAACATACAGAACAATCTAATATAGATACTAAAATTATTGCAATGTTTGAAGGGAAAATTAAAGCTTAAATTAGATTTACAATAGCCTTCTATTCTTGTTTTTTGCGATTTAAACATGAAAGACAAACAGATCAAAAGACAAAATGCACATAATTAAGACAACAACATTGTTCAAAAATAATGTTTTCTTTGATTTGGATGGCTGCCTGGTCATATGGTCTGGACCTTTGTTCCATGGTCACAATGTTGCACTGCCATCATTCACCTTTTTGCTGGAGGTTTGAACCAGGATGTAAATTATCCTCCAATCTGAAACTTGTTCAACAAAACAAAACAAAAACTATCCTTTTAGAAAACAAGAAGAGCAATGTAGCAGAGTTATTGTCCTTAGAAAGTCAGTGTTTTCTTTTCACAAATGTTTGTACACTGATTAATCGTCTGACTGTGAATGTAAAGTGGCTTTCATTGACCTTCTCATACTTTCTCTTTTTTGCCTCTGAACTTCCAAATGTTTGGTTCTTTTGAAAAAGCCAATCTGAAATAAGTGAGTACAAAAATCTTACCATTTTTTTTTTTCAAGGTGTGTGACTAATATTTTTTGTGAATAATTTATGGCTACAGTTGTATAGGAAACATGTTTACCTTCCAAAGAATGATGACAATAATTGTAATAAGAACTAGTCCAGCTATGACACTCCCAATAATGATCCAGATATTTATTTTACCCCCTGACTGGATAAAGTGGAATGTGGTAATGGTCTGCAATAAAATAAATATATTTGATAGAAACGAATAAATAATATGAGATTTGTTCATTGAGTATTTTAATACATAATATAGTGACATTGTAAATGATAATGATTACAACACCATGCACAGTATCTGGTGATTCAGGGAATAGGCAACTTGTACAAACCTCTTGCTGTTTTATAACTCCCCAAGATTTAAACAGAGGATGTTTGGGTTCTTTGACTATCACATCACTAACAAATTGTAAAGTGTTGAACTCCTGCATTTGCCAGATTAAAAAAAAAGTATTTATATGTAACACTGTATGGCCTACTCTACTTATGCAAACTTTACAAACACAGACACTCAAATATATATTTATTGACATATTGGTACAAATCATAACATTTTAAAAAACCTGGTAGTGATAAATTACCAACCTCTTTAATATACAATTTGGACAAATCTAAAACCAAGGTGACATTTATCTCTGCATAGCTATTAGACCTCATGTTGGCATTCAGTTCACAAGTAAATAATTGACACAGATTGTGATTGTCTTGACATCTCTGTACAAAAGTAAGAAAAACAACAAAAAAAAAACTTTAAAAAAGCTTATATTAAGTGTAATAGTATCAATCGGCTTGGACCCGTCATGTGATTAAATTTAGAATAGATCTAGGCTAACAATAATAAATTTGTGCAATTAGAAATATTTTTACCAATTATTTTTTGTTAAGTGCCATTTCATGCTTTTATCTTTCTAAATGCGCTATGATCCTATCATTTATTAGGGAAGAGGGTGTCTGGGTGAATGTTACTCTTCAAAGGGATTAATTCAACCTATACCACCACATCTGTCAAGTATGAATTTTTCCCTTGTTCGATACAAAAAAAATATTAATTACCAATAGTTAATTAACTAATTGGTTTTTCTTTTTTATTGATGCTTCTTTTGTCAGGTACAAAAAATAATTGTGCAAAATGTATTCTTGATCCAAGATTGAGTGTACAAATATTTTACTAGACAGACAGTGAAAATAAAGTAAAGTTCCCCTTTCAGACCTTGTGATCTATAGTGTACATGATGTAAAGGTCTTCTGTTTCTGTAGCCCATGGTTAAGGAGGGTGTCATATGGCCAGCACAATGCCCAGCCTCCTTTACTTTTCCCCATTTAATGTCAGGTACCTATTAGAACTGGGTGGACTCAGAGGGACCCAAAGATCCTGAAATAAGAATCCCAGTCTTGATATAAGCTTTGTAAAAATGGCCAACAAATTTATTTTTAGTGAAACATTACAATTTTATCTTACTATTGGATGATACTATGTAACTCTTCCTACCAAAAAACACATTTTTCCTTGACACTTGTTGTCTACTGCTCTACGCTTTCTGTTGACAATATCAATAATTTCTTCTGTGGTGGTGCTGGGTAATGTGCTAACACTTGACAAGTCTGAGGGGGAAATAAACATATAAAAAACAAAAGTTTGTTTAAGACACAAAAAAATTCTCAAGTCATTTTAAAGTGTTACTTTCTTAGCAGAAGAAAGGAAGATAAAATTTGCATCATAGCTTGGAGCAGAACACTTAAAAAAAAATGGATACCGTAATTTTACCTTATCAGATTGCCCTAATGTTTTCTTCAAAATGCTAAACAGTTTTAAATTATCCATTCTACATGATTGTGTGAGTTCTTAACTATTTAAATTAGACATTTCTTTTTTACTCATTTTAAAATTTGTACCAAAGACATAGGCAGCCAAGCTGAGGGGATTATTTAAGGCACAAAATAAGCACTAAATCGAGCAATGTTGTCACTTTAAGTAACTAATATATTTATATAGTAAGTAAGTAAGTAAGTAAAGCTCCCCTTTCAGACCTTGTGGTCTATAGGGCAGATGATGTAAAGGTCATCTGTTTCTGTGGCCTATGGTTAACAAAGGTGTCATGTGGCCAGCACAACGACCAACCGCCTTTACTTTTCCCTAACTAATGTCAGGTACCCATTAGAGCTGGGTGGATTCAGAGGCACCTGAAGATCCTGAAATTAAAAATCTTCACCAGGATTCGAACCCCGGTCCCCAGTTCAGAAGTCAAGCGCTTTACTGCTAAACCAACCTCGCGTCCTATACATATTTATATATATATATATATATATATATATGTTTTTTGTAAAATTTTTTACATAATTCAGATGTTCCTTCAGAGTTGAAGATAGTTTAGTTCCTAGTCCAAACCTCCCGCAGGACGAAGGGGGATGGGAGCAGGAAGGGTTTGAACCCTCGACCATCGATAAATCAGAATGACAGTTTAGCATGAAACCGCACGACCAGGCAAATATCCATATAAA